GAAAATCTCCGCAGAAAAGAGCAATAGATCTCCTACTTAGTTATTTATATTCTGTTTGACGTCCTTTATGGACGAACCCTTACACCATCATGTAATAAATTGTGTCTTCAAAAGAAATGTTTTAACAATAGAAATATTAAAAAGGTTTGAAAATAGTGAACATGAACTCATAAATTTCATATTTCACATTTATTGCGAGTTCATTTTTATAATTAATATTAATTTTCTTTAGACACAAATTGCATAGCAAAATAAAATAACAATTATAAAATCTCATCCAAAACAACAACTAATGCCATTTAACTACAAAAAAAAAATTAATCACAAGCGATCGAACGCTATCATGGCATTAAATACCAATAATTATTTTATCATAAAATGTTTTTATGATTATGGTTCATTCAAACATTTAAATTTGCTTTTACGTTTTGAATTCAAGCAACCATCAAAAGATGATGTTTATTGATGATTATTTGATTTGATGATTATTATGATGTAAAAACATCTCAAATTTAATCATAGACTAACAGGAAAACCATCCAAGCAGAACATGGCACTTTTATTACTATGATATTTTACAGCTCTTAATTGAATCAGCCTTATCATAGAGCTACCATAGAGTTTTGGAAAAAGTGATAACAGATGTCATCAGAATAATTAAACTAATCTTTAGAGTTGTACCCTCATTAGGAGATAACTAGAATTATAGAAGGCACAAGCAAAAATCTATGAGATTGTCTCAAAAATAAATATCTTGTCAACAAACATATTTAATTTATTTAAATATATATATTTAATTTACGCTTTGACTAAAAGTAAAGTAAAGAAATCTATTTTCCTCATTAAAAAAATTTCTAGTACCAGTTTGTTAATTTCGAATATATCTGACGTAGACAGCTTTTTAATAATTTTGTTGACAAAGCACATGTACTACTTGAAGTAGAGTTTGCAGTATGTTCTAAATTACATCTTACGTTTCTCAACTACAACTTTTATCTCTCAATTACATCTTACATTTCTTAATTGCAATTTTCAATTTCTCAATTACATTTTGAAAAGGTGTAGTTTAGATTAGCATGCATAGATATCGTAAGTGATGAAACTTGCAAAATAAATACAGCAAGTGTTGTGACTTGAAAAAAGATATTGCAAGTGATGTAACTTGTATAAAAATTTTGAAAGATGGCTCTAGCTTACCTTCACATGGTGTCTTTTATTAAAAATATTTGTTAGAAAGTTTTATTATAAAAGCCAAGACAAAATTAAGTAACTAAATACATCCTCAACTTTTTGTTGTTAATGAAATTTTTTTATAAATTCTTCATTTTAAAACAGCGACCTAGAGTCTTAATCATACTTCTATCAAGCTACATACAAAATAATAGGCCAGACAATTTATGATTATATTTTCCCTGAATAAAAAGAATATTCCCTGACTTGTGTAATGATGTAAATTTAACAAATATAGTAATAAAAAATGCAACAAATAAAACTTACATAACTTTACCCAAAAACGTTTTTTTTGGTTTTAGGTCAGAGGTAGATAAAGGGAAGAACCATATGCTCCTCCCCCTCTATGTCAATCTATACACCACCGGTATTTGTTGTAATCAAGTAAAATAAAAACTTTATTTGTTGTAAGATTATCATAACTTGATAAAATAGTTATAACTTTTTTTGAGATGTTCTTGCGATGTCTTATAATATAAGTTATATGAGGATTTACAATCACTGCTTTTAAACAGACCATTTTAAATTATCTCTTGTGTGATTTAACAAGTTTTTTTTTTAATTTTTAGAGAAAAACTAAAGTTCTTTTATCTTCAAAATTATAACTGTCATAAATAAATACTATTCTAATTTTAGATAATAAAGAATCTGCTCTAAATAAAAAAGTTTTTATGAAAGAGGGTAATAGAATGTTGTATTCCTCATAAAAAAAATCAAAACGAGATTGCGTTTTAAAGTTGTCGCATTTAAAAGTGTGTATAGCATGTACTCGTTCCATGTTTATGTACGACGTTTGCGTATTGTACGACGTAGCGTATTGCAACATAAATGCAACGTAAATGCAGCGAAATATGTAAATAAACAAAATATGTAAATAAACGGTTTATAAATAATGAAGTATGGATCCAGGGCTGCCCCAAGGGGAGAGGAAAAACGTAAAGAATGTCTTATCCCTCAAAAAAAAATTTTTTTTTAAACATTGTTGCCTAATTTGAATTGTAGTTTGTAAACATAGAACTTTCTTAGGCAGTTAGTAAACGAGGGCCTTTTTTTTTTTCTCACTAGTTTTTTTATGTCACTTTTTCTATGAGATCTCTTCGTGACTGCCTGGTATCATATGATATAATATTTTAACTTCATACTTTTGAAATAATAGTTTTGTGCAGAGGCAATTCTACGAATAAAATAAAAAGGGGGGACGAATCCTTAAAAAGTACCTGACTGGTTCCTAAAAAAAACAAACAACTAAATTGGCATTTTTGCAATTAAACTTGCAACAGTAAAATTCTTATAAAAATTCAAATTTCAAGTGTTATATTTATTTTCAAATGATTCAAGTTGTTTTATCAGACTCCTTGCCTTAAAATATTTTAATGTACATATTTTCAACTTTCTATTACAAACAGAAAAGAAACATAGGAAAAAACCATTTTTTTAAATGGCGTATTTATGTTGGTTCAAGCAGTTAAAATATTTATTTCTTTAAAACAGGTTGGAATTAGACGATGAAATTTAGGGATGTTCATAACTTATTAAAATTTTGAGCAGTGTTAAAATCAGCAAAAACTAACTTGGTGTTGTATGAAAAAATTTGATGTTTTTATATGGAATTGCCCTGTTGATATGGCCAAAGTTTATTCATTTTTTAATGAAGTAATTTAAATCAAGATAGCATAAAATGTGCTTGCATATGTTATCATTTTTGCTCAAATATTAAAACTTTTGATACAAATTAATACACCCTACATTATGTTATTTAACACCATGTATCTTCCACGGTCCCATATGTTAGCATTTAAATCTTGCAGAGAAATAAGAAAGAGAAATAAGAGAAACATTCTGGTTATCCTGCAGTTAAACGGTGCAAATTTAATTAATAAGCCATAAATTACGCAACGCAAAATATTTTTTAAAAGTAGAAGTAGGAGATTCTTAAGCTTCTTTACGCCGCAACTTAAACTGATTTGAATTTTTATTTAAATTAGGACTCTGCGAGGAAAAACTTTTGAACTTTTTGTTTGCGTTACGTAATTTATTGACGATTCCTAAACAAACTTTACGGCGCACAGTGACTCAAAACAAAACAAAAAAATGGTTATAAACCTCTCACCACTTTTTTATAAATGAAGTGCCCTTTGTTAGATAATATTAAAAGAGAATGATTTTTTATTTCAAAAGTAAAAATAATTTTTTCATTATTTTTAAAGCTTTTATTTTGTATTTTATAGGTAAAAGAAGTGAAAAAATTTGATATTATTTTTAAAGAAATCTGAAAAATGTGAGGTTTTTATTCAAACTAAATTAGAGAACTTGAAATTTAAATAAAAGTGTATATTTATTTTTAAAATAATATTTTGACTCTATATATTTCAAATATACTAAAAAGAAAAAAAAAAGTCTGATTTTTTCGTTTAAATTTAAAGACTTCTCTAAAAAAAAGTAGAAAATATTTGTACTTTTTTTGTTTATATATCAGCTAAAAAAATGCTCCATCGAGTTCCACAAATATATACATATTTTCCAGTTAATTAACATTTCTACTTTAGGAATGTAAAAGGATTACTGCGGTCTCCTGCGGTATTGGAAGTTATTAAAGAAAAACAAATGTTGATGATTTTATAAAAACCTTGTTTTCCGCCATTTTGCTAAGAACTTTATTATATCAAACAAATGAAATTGGCGGGAAACTTAAAGCATGGAAGTATAAAACAAATGGAAGTTCAACCGCATTAAATGCTTGTAACCTTTTGTTTCGTAAACAATAAGAAAACAACATCAAGACTGTACTTAAACGCTTAATCTTTATACGTTGACGCCAATTGATACGTTTATAATAATTTTAAAATATAGTATTTTGAAGGTTCGCCAATAATATTCAAGAAAAACATAAAAAAATGGCGCAACGTAACGGCAAACAACAACTTTTTTAAAAAATTAAATATTAAATGAATGGAGTACTACAAGAATGAATGGAGTTATCATATACAGCTAATAAAACTTTAAACTTTAGTTACTTAGAAAAAAACAAGGACGGCGCGATAGGGGGGTGTGGGGGTGAGTGACCCCCCCCCCCCGTCAATGATTTTTAGTCGGCAAACTGGACCCTTAGGCAAATGTCGACCCTTTCGATATAGGTTAGACAGTCGGCGAATGTCGTAATGGCAGTCGGCAAATTTTGGAAAACGAGGACTTTTTTTATTTTTTATTTTTTTTATTTTTTAGTCGGCAAAAGTTGTAATGGCACCCCCCACGTGACACCTACTCGCGCCGGCCCTGGAAAACAGTTTTTTTGATTTTTTAAAAATTGTTTTAGTTGTCTTTTTTATCAAATGTTGTTAAAACTAACATATGCTTTTAAAATCAAGTGGTTCTATTTAATTACCGAGTTTTAATAAACCTTTTGTTGAATAATTGCAATTACTAATGGTTAAAAATTTGCAACATATCTCTAGAATAATACATTTTTGAATGTTTTAATAAAGATCATTTCAGTGAGTTTTGTTGTTTTTTTAACCAGTGAAACTTGTTTTTTTTTTTAATTGTCGGTTACTAGCATACTCCCGAGACGACTTGAAATTGCTTTGATGTTTGCGGCTCGATGAACTTCCATCTGTTTTATACTTCCATTCTTAAAGTTAAGTTTCTTGCTTGTAGAACTTGTTCTAATATAGTTTTTAAATCATAAATATTAAATATAGTTTTAAAAAACGTGCTTTTGTCATTTTATACTATTTAAAAGTTTGTTAAAATATTTATTGACAATTTCAAACCTTTATTGCTCAAAGTAGAAGATGGCGAAATTTGGAAAAGTGAAAATCCTTTAAGCTGTCACTTTTGTAGGCCTCTTCATCTACAATATAAAAAAGAGAGTCCAATTTTATCGAGAGATGAAGAATCAAATCTAAAAAATCAAATAAATACCTTAAAGACGTTTTGCAAAGTTTTAATATTGCAGGAAGAATTTTGACATTTAATATCAGCTATAGGATTGATCTTACAATGTTTGATAATAAAGTAGTTAGCGCACTTACAGAGACAAAATCCACTCAATCCTGCAATGTGTGCAATGCTAAACCCAAGGAAATGAACAATATTGATTTATTAAAAGCAAAAACTGACAATGACTCGGCCTTGGGGCTCTGAATTTCAGCTTTGCATTGCTGGATAAAATGCTTGGAGTTCATTCTTCATTTGAGTTATAAAATTGAAATTAAAAAGTATAAGCCAAAAAAAATTGAGGAAAAACTATCTATAGACTTAAAAAAAAAAAGAGATTCAGGTACTTTTCAGAGAACGGTTAAGCCTATACGTTGATATGCCTAAAACTGGATCTGGACACACGAATGACGGCAACACTGCCAGAGGAGCATTTAAAAATAGTAAAGTTTTTTCTGAAATTACTAAAGTTGATTGTGATATAACTAAAAGATTGCATAATATTCTCATAACCATATCTTGTGGATATCCTATTAATATCAATGAATAATACTTATACTGCACTGAAACAGCTAAACGTATAGTGAGTTTATACAACTGGTATGTTATGCCTCCTACTGTACATAAACTGCTAATGCATAGTTCTTCTATATCAAATAAATTACCTTTGCCAATCGGGATATAATCGGAAGATGCACTAGAGAGTTTAAATAAACAGATAAGAAATTCTAGACTTAAACATACGGCAAAAATATCAAGGTTAAACACAATGATGAATTAGATGCACTACCTTCTAGTAAGATCAGATCCAAAAATATCAAGCATATTTTTTAGAAAACATAAAAGCTATCGAGGAAATTTGTTACCAGATGAAGTTTTTAAATTAGTTGTAATGTAAATAATAAATTTAATGTAAAAAATACAGTATTTTTTCTCTATGTATCAACATCCTTTAAAAACCATTTTTATAAAAAATATTAAGTAGAGTAATATACCAAAATTATGTGTTTGTCTTAAAGATTCTAAAAACTAAAAAAAAAAATTATACGTACGCGTATAGTCACCTTTAACACGCGTATAGTCACCTCATGTACGCGTATAGTCACCTGTAACACGCGTAAGCGCGCATTTTACGCGTCGAAACTGCGCGTAAAAAAAAATTGAAATCTTTGACTTAAAAATTATTACTTTAACATATAACATTGTTTATTTACGATTTAGATCAATTTTTATTTAATTTTTGCCGTTTTTTGATTGTCCTGAGTCACTGAGTAAAAATTATATATATATATATATATATATATATATATATATATATATATATATATATATATATATATATATATATATATATATGTATATATATATATATATATATGCATATATATATATGTATATATACATATGTATGTATATATATATATGTATATATATATACATATATATATATATATATGTATATATATATACATATATATATATATATATATATATATATATATATATATATATATATATATATATATATATATATATATATATATATATATATATATATATATATATATATATATATATGTATATATATAATTTGATATTCCTCAAAAACAAGTTTTGTTAGAAATAATAAATTAATAAAGCTTTCTTTTAGCTACAATACAGATTTAAACTAACTCCAGCTTAAGTTCTTAATTTTAGCATTGTTTATTAAAAAAAAGTCCTTATTCATTTCTTAACACCTTAAACGAATTTATTGCATAAATTAAAGGTTTTATTTAAACAACGCAATCAAAAAAAAAAAAAAATTGGACCTGAAATTGCACTACGCTATGCAACCAAAATAATTGAGGCACAACGCAGGAAAAAGTACCAAGTTTTGTTATTACCAAATCTGAATAGAGAAAAAAAAATTACAAAATAAAAAAGAACTATTTTGATATCTTTATTATTTGTTCAAATATTAGAGGTTTTAGCAAACTTTTGGATGAAACCTTTTGGAACACTTTTTTGATAGAAAAAAAAAAAGAGAAAAGTTAGTAGAAGTGTTTTTCTTTTAAACCTCATTTTTTATTTTGACAAAAAATAGTTAAAATTTTTTTAAAAGCCTCATAGTGTTTTGACAAAAAATAGTTAATATTAGTTAATTATTATTGTTATTATTATTATCATTATTATTACTACTATTGTTACTATTATTAATTGTAACAAATAAAATTGGTAATGATTTAATAAAAAAAGTTTATTAAACCTAGATAGGAAATTATTTGCTTGTTTTCGAGGTGATTTTCATTGAACTTAAGGTGCTTTTGAATATTTGGTTTGGATTCGTCCATAAATTACGTCACGCTATAAGGGAGGAGTGGGGAGGTTTTAGGTTTTGTGACAACTTATACAAAACCTGCTTTTTGGTAGGGGGGTGGTGGAGTTCAGAAACAGTCAAAAATTGCGTAACGTAATCTATGGACGACACCTTTAATTAAATACTTTGCGAGAGAAAGTTTTTCATATTACCGTTATGTTTATTAGATAAATTTAGCGTTGCATAATTTATGGTGTTACATTTGAAAGTAGATGTTACATTTGCATTTCATTGAAAAATATGCATATTTATATTATTGAAACTTTTTATAAAGTATTTTTATAAAAGTAAGTAAAAGATTGAAAAATAACAACTTTTTTCGAAAAATTAGCAACTTTTCTTGGATTTTAACAAAATCAGTTTCTATACTGCTCATTATCTCCTTAACTAGTTTTCGAAGACGTGGTACTATTTCGGAAATTGCGTCTCAATTTATAAAACTACAGAATTAGTGTTTTAAACTAAATGAGTAAATTAATTAGAAAAAAAAAAAGTCACAAGTTTTAGAAAATAAAAAATAAAACATGCGTGATAAAGGTGATTTTTTTAGGAAAAGTGTTAGACCGTTATCCCTATATTATTATCAAATATGTTTTTAAAACAGAATATTTTTAAAACACGTGTTTTTAAAATTGTCTGTCATGTAATTGATAATTCTCAATGAAAAAAAATTCTCAACCAAAAGTATATCAAACGAGTTTTTTATCTACCTTAACTTTACAAAAATCCCCCCTTCCCATCCTCTAATATCCTAAACGTTAGAGCAACAAAATGATAAAATATTTTTTTTTTACGATTTTCAACTAAAGTTATTTTCATCGAGTAACTTTAAATTTCGTAGTATAATCACTCAGCGTTCACCTAATAAAGTTTATACCCTCACAATTTGATTTTTTGGGTCTTTCTTGTTCCCTAATCATTGTAATTTTTTTTGCAAAGTGTTCTTATTTGACATAACTATAAAGATGTAAATGTTTTGAGTTTGCTCCATGTCTGGAAGTTAGTTCAAATACCAAAAAATGCTGGCTCCGCCCCTGATTGCATAATTGTTTTTATTTTAAAATAGAGGCAATTTAATTTTTTTTAAATCATTATTTGTTACTTAGTTTTAAGAAAGGTTTTCTAAATTTTTCTTGCGGTTATTTGCCGCCGTCCAGACCGGTACTTTGGGCGATTGCACGATTCCAACCCATTCTAAAAATCTAATAGAATGGTATTTCATGACCGCAACAGAATTTAGAAAGCTGTTTTTAATAAACTTCATATTAAACTTTTTTTTCTGTTTGTTTACAAACTCGTTTTCCAGTCAGCTTGTCGTTTTAAAATACGAATAAAGTAAAATAATATTAAAGTTAACCAAATAAAATAATAAAATATAAAAAGTATAAAATGAAAACTTTGCACAAAGCTTCTTAAAAAAACTTTATTTTTATAAAATTATTGTTATTATTATTATTGCTATAATTAATATTATTGTTACTATTATTATTATTATTCATAATTTTGTTTATAATCGTGAAAACGTATTTTCAAAGAAATAGCTTTGAAATCAATAAAAAATGAATTGATAAAAAAAGTTTAAGTTGTTTTTGACATGAACCAAAATCATAATTTACCTAATAGCTTCGGATGTTATCTAATGACACTTTTGCGAACTTGATTGCAGATCTTTTTTTTGCAAACTATCACTACGAGTCAATATGTGCTCCTCAGGACAAGACTATCTTTAAATGAATATAAAAACGATGAGCGACTTTAGTACTTATGCTATCCCAAAACACACCTCTCCAAGCTTGATAAAGGCAGATTAAATACTAAAGGAGATAGCGATGTTTTTTAATAGATCGAAATTCTTCCTTATTATGCTATTATAAACGAATTAACCTTTTATTGCTTTATAATATAAGTATCTCATTATAAATTTGAATGCCAGAAATACGCGCATAAAATCATTGCTGATCATTGTTTTTTTTGTTTTTTAAAAGAATTAATGCAATATTGTAAATTATTCACATGTAAATGTCGACAGCAATTGAGCCCTAATTAAAAATAACAGCTCGTAACAAAAACGACTACAACAAATTACGCATAAAATATATTGATATTGTTTATTATACAGAATTATTAAGAACAATTGAATAATCGCAAATACAAAAAACTAAAGAATTTGAAAAATTTCAATAAACTTTGCTAATTTTAATCTGTTTTACAATATTTTTTATATTAAAAGTTCTGTTGAGTTGATTTGCAATACATTTATTGCCATAGTCATGCATAATTAACTTTTAGTTTTTTATAATATGCCTTGATTACAGGTATGTGTCTTAAAACACGACTTAGTTCTTTGGTCTCAGATTCATGTCTGTTAGCAAACAATTTGTTAGCGACTAATGAATTATAAAACAGTAAATTGCAAAAAAAATGTCAGTTTAATTATCGAATAAAAAAAAATTATATTCCATTAAATTTTGTTCGATGAAGGAGACGAGCTTATCGTCTCTTTAGAAGTTGCTACATTGTTAAGTTAATTATATAAGTTACATATTGTTTATTACAATTGTATACTTTAATTACACATTCATAATTTTGAAATAAAAATAAAACATACAGTAAACAGACAATTAAAACTCTGTTAACACGTTGCAACATATCCGTTTTGCTACTTATTCTGGTTGCAACTTTTTTCTGCTGCAACTTATTCCGGTTTTACGTGTTTTTTTGCTCAACTTTTTGTTTATCCTCTTTTTGTTTTATAGCAAAATAATTAAAATAAGTAATTTTTGAGTATAAATTCAAAGTCGCTTTTGTTTTTAGAACATGTGATTATTCTTCAATTTCTGTGATTATTCTTCAATTTTTTTAGTGGCTTGATTTTTAAATACAACAATTACAAAATGGGCAACATTCTAAAAATTATCAACAATCAATACCAAAAAACTTTTTTTATATGAAAAAAACTCGGAAGTAAATCAGAAAACAACTCAAATGTTTTTAATTGGCTTTGGGGACGGATGTCTATTTTTTTATATATAAGTTTTAAAGTTTACGCGTAGCTAAGATGACTTTGTTTCCTTTGTACTTATTACTTTGACAGCTAAAATATTTAAATAACTTTATTTCCTGACTGATCAAGATCAAAATATAAATTGTTGATTCATTCAACATTCTGACTTTGCCATTTCAAAATTAGAAAAATAATAGAAAATTAGAAAAGTTTATTTTTATAATTTTCAAAGTTTTTAGTGAAAATATATTTAAAACGTACTTGAACTACAGCTTATATATTGTTTATATATAATGTTTAAATAAGAGTTTATATACATATCATGGCCGACGTCACGGGTTTCGAAGTGGAGGGGCAAAATCGTCAGTTTCTAAAAAAAAGTCCTCAATATCTAGAATTTCCTAAACAAAAAAAAAAAATAAAAAAAACGACTTTAGAAAAAAAGTGGGAGGGGCGGATACATGCCCCTGCCCCCTTCCCCGGCGTCGTCAACCCTGCATATTAAAATGTTCTTAGTCTATCTTAAAGAGCTAAACAAAAGAAAATCAAAAGCTAAATATATATCATTCATTAACATAGTGAACATTACGGAAACAAAGAACTTGAGCAATGCTTAAAAGGGTTTTTCTTGGTTACTTTGATGAAAACTTCCAAAATTATTTTGGACTAACAGATAAGAACACTAGCAATGCTGTTATTCTTTTATGATTAGGGATCGTCCATAAAGTACGTACGCTCGGAGAGGAAGAGGAGGTCTGCAAATGGCGTTTCTGAGATAAGGGGGCAGTAGGTCAATTATAAAAGTATGGTGACACTAGATTTAAAAAAATATCATAAAATGTTGGGTTAGTAAGTAAAAGCGTAGGTAATTTTAGGGAGATAAAGAGTACTCAAAAAAGCGTACGGCAAATTGCGGGGGGGGGGGGGGTTAGCGAAAAAAAGCGTACGTACTTTATGGACGACCCCTTAGCAAAAGTAAAACAATAACTAAAAAAACACAGCTTTTAATATATGACTTAACGAATATTTACAAATATTTTGTTTGTCAAAATTTTTAAAATAAAAATTTTGTACCTTTTTTAAATGAGTATTTCAAATAATTTAAAACTAAAGATAATATTAATGCTTATAAACATTTTTTAATATCTATTTGTATTAAATTTAATTTTGATATTTCTAATCTATCTTTCGTATCTTTGTATACATTTCTTTCTTTTGGATATTGTAACACTTAGTTTTTGCTTTTATCTACCTTATTTATCTTTTATCTACCTTATTTAAATTACAGTATTATTTGACTCTGATTGATAGCAGTTGACTATATTTATATGTTTACTGAAAATAACTTGCATAAACCTTGTATAAATATTAAAAAAAAAAATTGTTGATATAATGAGCTTTTTTATTCAAGATCCATTTTCAAATTGCAAAAAATTGCAACTGTTCACAGGCCCGTAACCAGATATTATTTTTAGGAGCGTGACAAATTTTTTAATGTGGCCTAATGTTTTTTTAAACAAAATTTAAAGGTCAATTTTTGAAGATATTATAATTAAACACAAATTTTCCCGTAACTTTTAATATAATGTTAATGTTAAAATGTTTAATATAAAAATAATGTTAAAAAACCTTAGTTAATTTTTGAAAAAAATTTAGTAAAGTTTTGAAGTCGCCCAATTTTTTAAAAGGAGGGTAACAGCCACTTTGTTCACCCCCTCCCATAGTTACGGGCCTAGTTTATAAATATTAGCCTACTTTTGATAAAATTTGATAAAAAACTCAAAATTTGATTAAATCTATAAGTAAATTAAACTTAAAGCAAGTATTATTAAAATTAGAAATAAAATAAACAAAATTCGAGAAAAAGTTAAATCAGTTTCTCGACTTATTTTATTTACTATATTAATATTAATTATTTCTACTAAAAGAATAAAAAAATAATACGAAATTTAAAAAACCACTGGGTGTTATAATTCATCAGGTTGAGATCTACAGATGTTGACAAAATTTGAAAAAAATAATTTTTTCAAATTTTTTGTACTATTTTCAACTAGACTTATATTCATCGATAAGTTTTAAGTTTCATAGTATTATCTCTCAGCGTTCAAAATTATGTCAATATAAAATTCGCAGCCCCCTCAAATTATATGGTCATAATTTTTGAACGCTAAAATTTTTTACTATGAAACTTAAAATTTATGGAGAATACAAGTCTAATTGAAAATGATACAAAAAATATTTCATCAACTTATTGCTCTCACGTTTGGGGCAGGGTTGGCCAAAGTTTTGAGGCTTTTTTGTTCCCAAGCTCCAATCATCGCAATTTCTTGCAAAAAATCCTTATTTGACATAAGTATAAACGTAATAAATGTTTGGAGTTTGGTCCATGTCTGAATGTTAGCTATCTTAAAGACCAAAAAAAATGCTGGCGCCGGTCGTGTAAAGATCTCATTATTTTGCTAACTGTTTATTTTTTTATTTATAAATTCTCAATCATCCCTATGTAGTTAAAGTAAATCAAGGAAAAAAAATAAGTCTGTCTAATCAAGGTCTTTTTGCCTTGATCAATTTTGACAACAATGCCAAACAATTGTTAAAACAGCTTTTTTCATTGCGTACGTACGCTATCAGACAAAATCAAATTACGCCGGCCTAAGGTATTTGTCTGATAGCGAGGCTATAAATACTTTGTTTTAAATTTATTGTTTTGACTTGTATACCTCAACTAGACAGACCTTTTTTACCTTATTTATCTTAACTCGACAGGGATGATTGAGAATTTTTAAATGAAAAAAAAACAAAAAAAAAAAAAAAACAAAGGCATAAATACTGTAAAAAAGTAACTATTAGATCTATCTTACAAATGAAAAGTGTACTGCAAGACTATTTAGAGATTGTGTTTCACACAATCTCTAAATAGTCTTGCAGTACACTTTTCATTTGTAAGATAGACTGGGGCACATTGGTCCATTTGATTTTTTTCAAGAATAAAAGCGTTTATACTCTAAACATTACGACGGACCAACGTAGAGTATAAACGCATTTATTCTTGAACTATTAATCAATATTATTTAACATTGATTAACATTATAGAAACCAATAGTATTTAACATTATAGAACTAGGATAATGCATTACGGACAGAACTGTATATTGCAGTAGCGTAGAGTAGGGCTAGTTGAGCATAAGCGTAAGTTGGGCAGTTAAAATATCTCAAAAACTACAAATCAAATGAAAAACATTTAATGGATGAAAGTTATGGAATTAGAATGTTAACATAATGCGCAATAAAAGATTGCTGAAAAGCAGTTGAGTAAGATACAGGGCACTTTTACAATTTTGGACTAAAAAGTGAACAAAGAAATTTTCACTATTTTTCTCTTAAATGCTTATAAATTTTTTTATCTGACATCACTTAAGTGTTGACACTTTACAAACTTATCGGACTTTCGATTGAAATTGGCCGTTTTTTCCTAGGTCTTACTGTTCTTTTTAAAACCTAGTTAATGCGACACCTTGTTTAGTAAAGGTAAGTTAAGCAACTTTGAAAAAAATAAATAAAACTGAACTATTGACATAAAAAAGCAACTTGGATAAGAAATAAATTAGCGGAATATTGTTTATATATTTTTAAAATTAGTAACTTTCAAATCGGGTTTCAGAGTTTAAGATGGTTGTATAAAGTAATACTAAAAATATTACTTTATACAACCAACTCTGAAACCCGATTTTATGACACTTTCTTAATATTTAATTTTTCTCATCTCTTACTTACGTCATTAAAATTTATAAAATAAAAAG